ATGCTGCATTGAAAAACAAAGAACTCATGAAATATTATACGAAATAGGTGACCCTGGAGAACATTTTGGTGAGTGAAATATCATAGTCACAAAAGGACAAATATTGCATGGGGCCACTGTTGTAAAACGAGACTGACATCAGGGTTGAGGGAAGACTGAGAAAGAGGAGATAATAATATATACTGCACTGAAACAGATGAGGGAGAGAACTGTTTAAAAGGGATGTATGACTAGGTATTGTCATGGCAGGAGTCCAGAACTGAGGCTGCATAGTGGAGTAACTTGAGAAGAGGGATTGTATAATAATGAAAGAACTTTTCTTTTACTTTTCAAAACATAGGCTGCATAATGGAGTGGACTTGGAGGAAGGGACTGTATAACAATGAAAGAATTTATCTTTTCTTTTCAAAGAGAAGAGTGAATCGGAGAGGAGGGGTGGACAGGGAGAAAAGTGTAACAATGAATGAATGGAAACCCTAAGTCTCTGTAAACTTTCATTAAAATTAATTATTTTTATTTTTTTTAAAAAAAAAGAAGAGGCTGTGGCACTAAGGATATTACTGCTGATGTCAGATGAAAATTGGCTGAAACCAGAGAATACCAGAAAGATGTCTATTTTTGTTTTATCAACTATGCAAAGGTATTTCACTGTGTGGATCACAACAAATTATATCTAACTTTGAGACCAAGGGGACACTGCATGGATCAAAATTAACAATAAAAACAATGTCTCAAAGATGCCTTCAATAGGAATCTCATCTCAAATTCAAGAAAACAAAGATCCTCACTACTGGGACAATGCACAGCATCATGACAGATGAAGCGAAGACTGAGATTGCTAACGATTCCATCTTGCTCAGATCCACAATCAACACCCTTGACACCAGCAGTCAGGAAATCGTAAGATGGATTGCAGTGGGAAAATGTGCTGTCCAGGACCTCTTCAGAGTACTTCAGAGCAACAATATCAGTCTACAGGTCTACAGACTAACGTGTGCCTGATTCAAGACATTTAATTCAAGCCATTCAAGCATTCTTAATCGCTTGCTATGTATCTGGGAGCTGGAAATGACCAAGAATGACAGAAGAAGAAGAAGAATTGCCTTTGAGCTGTAGTGCTGGAGAAGAATACTGAACATACCATGGACTGCCAAGAGAATAAACAAGTCCGTCCTGGAGAAAGTGGAACCAGGTTGCTACATACTCATGTACTTTAGGCATTTTTTAAGGGGGGCCAGTCATTGGAAAAGGATATCATGCTTAGAAGGGTGGAAGGTCGACAAAAGAGGAAGACCTTGGATGAGATGGAATGAAATAGTTATTGGCAATGGGATCAAGTGTGTCAGAGACGGTGAGGTTGGCTCAGGACAGGGCAAGGTCCACAGCCATTGTTCATAGTGTTGTTGAGTGGGAGTCAACTTGACAGCACATACCAACAACAACATGCTATTCTAAGTGTATCCCAGCAGTTTAGTTAAAGAACCTCTGATGCTTCTCATTACAGAAAGGGAGAAGCAGAGAGCTGAAAACATGGTTTCAAAACTTATCCACAAAACTTCTCTATCTGGATTAAGGAAGAAAGTTTCTGTTAAGAAGTATTTGATTTCATTTTGCTCTGCTTTTGTTTGAGTGTGTATGTAAACATAGCCTCAAGAGCTAAGAACACAAAGTCACTGAAGTGTAAATAGAACACGTTTGGAGTTATACCAGGGGCTTTGTGAAAGGGCATAACCTAAGTTTTCCCTGTCTTTGGCTGTTTACCGTCTTCTTTAAAATGTCCAACTCAGATTAGACAGATAGGTAAGAGAAGGATGGCAAATATGGAAGAGACTATGAGGAGGGCACAAGACAGGGCAGAGTTCTCACCTGCTGTGCATAAGATCGCTGAGTCACAGGTAGTCTATTCTACAGCACCTCACAATATACATATACATATTGTTGTTGTTGTTATATGCCGTGGAGTCACTTGTGACTCATCGTGACCCTATGTACAACAGCCCTAAACCCTGCTCTAGCCTGTGCCAATCGTACTGCCTCTGACACACCCATCCTGATTACCCCACTCACT